GTTTTTCCTGTGTTTCTGTGTGTGTGTTTGTGTGAAGTAGCTGCTGATGCCTCATATCCGAACCACTCTGCAGATCAATATCCAGGCCCGACTCTCTCTTCTGGCCCCTGGCGGTGTGTTTGACAAGGTGTGTATGCCTGTGATTGTGCGTGCTTGTGTATATGTGTATATACTTGTTTATGTGAGCTGGTGAATGTATGTTAGAATATATATATATATATGTTTAAAGTTATATATGTGTGTAGTCTATAGCCTGTGGTTTGGAGGGGTTACCAGTGCTGCTGCGGCAGGGCACAGAGCAGCTGAGGTACAGCGCCCTCTGTGTGCCGGAGGACCTGAACAACAGGGGGGTGGGAAAGCTTCCCATAAACTACTATTCCCAGGATGCAATGAGAGTCTGGAATGCTCTGCACAGGTAGGGCTAATAAGGGAGTGATGGGAGGGGTGTGTGTATAGTGTTACTAATGGCATATGTGTGCTTGTGTATGTATGTTGCATTTGTATGCTTGTGTGCATGAATTGTTTCCAGGTGTGTGAATACAGTGTTGGTAGGGGTATGTGTATAGTGTTGCTAAGGGTGTGTATGCAGTGTTGCAAGGGGTATGTGTATAGTGTTGCTTGGGGTGTGAATACAGTGTTGGTAGGGGTATGTGTCTCGTGTTGGAAGTGGTAAGTGTATGGTAATGCCAGGGGTGTGTGTAGAGTGTTGCTAGGGTTGTGTGTGTAGTGTTGCTAAGGGCATCTGGATAGTTTTGCTATGGGTGTGTGTCCAGTGTTGCTAGGGGTTTGTGGATAGCGCTGCTAGGATTGTGTGTGTAATGTTGCTTGGGGTATATGTATGTTCGTGTGTGCAGGTTTACAGTGGCCTGGGTGGACCTGTACTATCCCAATGATTCAGATGTGCAGCACGACACAGAACTGCAGATGTGGATCCAGGAAATTTTCACATATGGTGCCCTGGACCAGAAAAGCACAGGTCACACTGCACTATTCACATAGCACTTGCACACTGTGTTATTCATAAAGCACTAAGGACTAGCACACAAATTACTAGCACACTGCACTGTTCATAAAGCACTAGCCCACTGCACTTTTCACAAGGCACTAGCACATTACACAATTCATAATGCACTTGCACACTGTAGTATTTACAAAGCACAAGCAACCTGCACTATTTAAAAAGCACCAGCACAGTGCACTGTTCACAAAGCAACAGCACGCTGAACTGTTCACAATGCATCCACAAATCATGCTATTCAACAAGTACTGGCAAACTACACTAGCACATAGTGCTATCCACAAAGCACCAGCACGCTAACATGTTCCTTACTTGTGAACAGTAGTTTCACCAAGTACTCTTGTCTCTAGGCTTCCCGCAGGCCTTCCAGACCAAGATGGAACTCAGCAAGTTTGTTACCATGGTGATTTTCAGCAGCTCTGCACAGCATGCTGCTGTGAACTTTTCTCAGGTGTGGACAAAAGATATTTCCATTAAGAAATCAATGAATTACATGGTAACTCCTTTTGTCTGGTCTTCAGACTTCTTGAGTCCATCTGTCCTACTGTGCAAAGCAGAAAAATTGAGAATGTTTTTATTAGACATGACATTTTAGTTGTGCAAATAAAGTTGAAATTGCTGCCGTGGGAATTACCATCCAGTGACAATCTGAATTTAAATTCATTTCACTTGCAAAGTATGTTATACATTACATAAATTAGACATTTCGATGAATTATCACATTTTGGCCTGGTTTATATTTTGGGATTTATGATGCTGTGCCTAGCCTCTGCCACGTTGACAGGTTCATAGCCGAGAACAACGCAACACCAAACCTGTTGTGGTGGTAGAAATTCAGGAAATAGTGGCATTAACAACCCCCCCACACACTCACACAGCTGGATTTCAACCTGTGGATGCCAAACTGCCCAGCGACTATGTCCCGCCCCCCTCCACAGTCCAAAGGCTCGGTGACCTGGGAAGACCTGCTGTCCATGTTGCCTCCAGTCAATGCCACCTGCAGTGTCCTCACCACCCTCACCCTGCTGTCCCAGCCTTCCCTGGACTATGTAAGTGTGACTCCAGCCCAGCTTATCTAACCAAACTAACCACCAGGGGAACCCAGCCCAGACAATCCAACTCACCTAACCACTGAGATTACCCAACCCAGCCAGCTAACTACTGAAATATATACCCAGTTAACCACCCAGCCACCCCACACTCACTACACAGTTAACCAGGTGACATTCTCCCACCTAACCTTGCCCTGCCTAACCAACTCCCACATAACCATCCCCTGCCTTTTCACCCTTTCTCTCTCCACCAACCTACATCTCTCTTTTCCTATTTTCCAGGTTCCTCTGGGACAATATCGTGAGCACAACTTTACCAGTGGCGCCCCCCAGAGGCTGGCGGCGGCCCTGCAGGTGGAGCTGAAAGCTATTGGCAGTGAAATTGCAGAGAGGAACACGAAGCTGACATTGCCATATACTTACCTATCTCCAGACCGCATCGAGAACAGTGTGGCTATCTGAGAGCTACAGGAAGTGACCTGACAGAGGCTTAATGTTGTAACAACAGTGTCAGCCCAAATCTTGTTTTATACAACATTTCAATATTTTCAAGCAGCCATTTCAGTCCAGACATTTACAGACATTTACAGGCATTTAGTGAATGAGGTTTTTTTTTTTTTTTTTTTGCTGAAGCTATTTTCAAAGTGCGCATATACTGCATCCTGCAAGCATTAGCAAATACATTTCCGCTCATTCCCAAACAGACACATGTATGGGAAAAGATACACATGTCATACACACAAGCCTCATGGAGGAAAGCTTCACCACACCACAGAGCCTTATCTCGCCATCTCAGACTGGGAGATTTACAGCTTTATGCATCAGCAAGCAGTCATTTCTCATAATAGTATTGAAATTGTGAAAAATAAAATGGTTTTATGTTTTTATTTTTGCTTGGGTGTTGATCTTTTTTCAGTGTGTTTATGGCAAGCTGTTTAAGCTTGTATTCAAATTTTTTATTTCAAGAATTACATTGAAACTAGTTATAAGTCAAATTCTTTATATCAAAAATTCATTTTAACTACTAATAATCTGAATTATTACTATCAAAAATTTTGTTTTAACTTTTTCACATTCATGTCAATTGTGGCTTTCATCAGGAGTTGAATTCCTAGCTAGCTAGGTTGCAAGCTAGCATCAGTGTAACTCTAAACATGCAAAACAAAACTATAATTTTACCACCTTCAGTCATATAATAGTTAGCTGGTATCTTTGGGAATACGTTGTCTCCATTATGATCGGCCAAAGCCATGCCTAGGACTTTCTTGTACTGGCATTCTGACTGATATTCAACATGTCCTTTGATATTTATGTCACATTTGCAGAAATGATAAAGACTAGTAGTCTACTAGTAGCTAGTAGCAGAGTATTTGATTCAGATTTTGCAGTCTTGAGAGCTTCTAATACTGAGGTTCCATCAAGCTGTGATGACTGAGAGGTTAAGGCATTGGTCTTGAACTCCAATGTGGTTTCCTCGAGAGGTTTTATCTTTGTGAGCAGGCCTCCAACCTCTATGTCAGTAACACAGTAACCACATCAATTTTGAAGCGCAGCAAAACTACAGGGTGTGTGATATTGTCTCATTGCCTTTACATCACATTCAAGCTGCGATGGCCGAGTGGTTAAGGCGTTGGACTTGAAATCCAATGGGGTCTCCCCGCGCAGGTTCGAACCCTGCTCGCAGCGTCCTGGCACATTAGCATTTAGAGTGTTTTGATTAGGAAATATTTGTGCCAAAATGTCCCACTCCTTTCGTAAAAGAGCAGCTGGTTTTGCTCTAGCCATTCATCAATTAGCTCAACTGCAGTCAGTTAGAGTTCAGCTTAGTTGGCACCTGCAGACATTGTAAACCTTAGGACAGAGAGCTGAGTGCTGTAGCTTTAACTCAGATGTACATAAACAGTGGCTGTGTCTTCTTCTGGAACCACCATGAGTAAATCTGCTTTGGTAAATTCAGCTAATTAGCTAACTTAGCCATAAATAGTGTGATAGGGTAATTAGTACACATACATATTTGTATTAATTATATTGTAAATGTTTCTAAAGCAAGCAGTTGTCTTAAAGCATATTAAAGAAAATTAAAATGTTAGTTGATGTGATTGATTAAAAAGCCTCAGATATGAATATTCTTAATGGCATGTATAGAGATCTGTGACATAACATGGCATTCAGGCATTGTAAGTGTCCAATTAAGAACAGTATCAGCTTATTGCAATTGAGAAGGTGATTTGTGGTTTGAACAAAAACCTGCACACACAGTGGGTTCCCAAGACTGAGTTGGGAACCTCTGCTGTAGACTCTTTCCCCTTCAAAGGCAGCAGTTGTGTAATTTGTCACATTTGATAGAGCAAATTTCAAAATATTTCCAGCTGTGATGGCCGAGAGGTTAAGGCGTTGGACTCGAAATCCAATGGGGTTTCCCCGCACAGGTTCGAACCCTGTTCACAGCGCAGGCATACTTTACCCTTTAACATTATTTCAGTGTGCAAGTTACAACAATTGAGAAAGAGTCAAAGTCTTTTACAACAATTCATTGACTTAAAAAAGGTGTTGGTTCCATTGGGGAGCATATGTAGAGGTACGATCCATTTCAAACATTAGATGTTGCATTTCCTTCCTCCCCCCAGCTGAGGGAGCTGTTCTAAAGTGAAGCAAGTACTGGGATACTTTGCACTCAGATGGGAACTGCTACCTCAGCTCTCCCCTCCACTGCCCCAGTATTGGAGGAGGGAGGGGGGAGATGAGGTAGTAGTGGAGGAGGATACCTGGTTCATGTATTGGGATTGATCTAACATCTTAACCATTTATCAAAGCAACACGACTGCTATATGATTGCACGTGTACTCTAGCATTCAACAGATTGGGATTAACTTTTGCTGCAGGCAGTTAAGCAAGAACTAGTAGTTTCCATGGGCAATTTGACAAAGACAAGGCTCCACCCGGGGTTGAATCCAGCACCATCTGTGTGTAAAACAGACATGAAGACCACTACACTACAGATTGTCACCTGCTTATGATGAGGTCTTAACCAAACAATTCACATACCACATGTCTACGATGTGGTGATGGGGCGTTGAATTGAATAAAAAAATGTAAGAAGTCGCAATTTGAAGTCTTTGAGTAAATTATGTGCAACATTGGCTGTAATTGCCAGTTGGAAGTTAAATGGAGTTTCTTTACTGCGTTTTATGGGTGAGAAGCTTTTGAGAAAGGAAGAAATAGGCTGTGTTCAAATGGAAGCCATTGGGATTTTGCAATTTTCGTGTTTTAGAAGCTGGAAAATGCTTTTTAACTCTTCAACTGTCAGCAACATTTGCTTTAGTTTTCTTTTGACCACATCAAATTAAAGGGTAAAATCACAGGTTGTTAAAGAAACCAACGCTGTGAATAGGACTCTAACCTGTGTGGGGAAACCTCATTAGCAGTATTTTTGTGAAAACTGTACATTTACTGCAAAATATACTGGTAGGATTTCTGCACAACTTGTTCAATTATCCAATAAAAAAAGTTAAACTTTCCTTAAGCAAGATTCCAGCTCAACCTCATTGAGAAAATCTGCCCTTTAAGAGGTTTCATTTTTAAGTGGATTGACATACGTTTCTTTGGTGCAAATCGTGAAATTTTTCATTAGTCAAAAGAAACTCTTAAATATAGCTTCATTCTCACCCACCCAGTTCAATCCACTGTCAGTGGAGACTGATTAAGGCTATGGTTTCTTTTCATTCACATGTTGCTTTTCTTGTTTACCATTATATGATGTATTTACGCCATCTAGTGGTGAACAAACACAATGTCGTCAAAATAAAGACAGCGTATACCACTTTACCAGTCTACTTCGGGACGACCATGGTAGTGTTATTTAAGTCCTGAATCAGCACAGATAGATGCAGTTATACTATTATCCTAAACAAGACAGATATGATCTCGCCTACATGTTATCATGTGTAACCAACAAACTCCAAAACTGTACCTCTCGCAAGTGTTCTGATTTGTTGGTTAATGTTAGATGTTCGCATCATATGTGCTTGATTAAATAAACAGATGTTCTGTTTATTGTATTTAATTACAAATGCCCCAAGCCAAACGAGTTACCTGTAATACTTAAACAATCACGTTTTCCGGAATGTAGAATATTGTCCTTCTTGCTGTTCCGTATTTCTGCGTCATCAAAAAGAGCCTGTCAAGCACAGCGGCATCGGGCACCATGGCATGGTGAAATACGTTTCTGAGTTCCTGACCTTCAACTGCTTATTTAATACGACCATCAAGGTATTCTAATTATATCTATTTCACATTGGGTTGCATTGTTTGATCACTGAAATATAACTTACCTTATCTGAGATTAGTTTCCTTATCCTGCTGCTGTTTTACGACTTAGCTAAAGGTTTGAAGCCTGCTTACATAGCTAGCACTCGTTTCATGTCTGTATTTGCAGATTAATTTTACATCAGCTGTAATATTAGCTGTTTCGTTTGCCCTGTTCGCTAGCTAATAGACTGGGTAATACATTTCATTCCAGTTGGCAAAAATACTTTTCTGTGTACAGGTGAGCAATCAAATTACGTACATAGCTTGTTAGCCATGGCTAATAACTGAAAATGAATAGATTTTAAGATTTTAACGCCCTTAGAAGCGTAAGTCGTTTCGGTTGCTTGTTCTGTAGATGTGTGTGTGTGTGTGTGTGTGTGTGTGTGTGTGTGTGTGTGTGTGTGTGTGTGTGTGTGTGTGTGTGTGTGTGTGTGTGTGTGTGTGTGTGTGTGGACTAACTGACTGATTTGAATTGTTATCCATGAATAACTGGATTCTTCCGTCATCAGGGTTTCCAAAATCCACACAACATGTCCGTAAAACACGCTTCTGTCCATGCAAAATGGATCATAGGCAGAGTTATCGGCACTAAGATGCAGAAGACGGCTAAGGTGCGAGTGACCAGGCTCGTGCTAGACCCATACCTTTTGAAGGTAAATCCATACCCTAACATTCACTCTCAGACCATCCATTTGTAGAGAGCCTCAAGGCTAGTAGGTCAACAAAATCAACTCTGATATGCCTAACTCGAGGTATAATCCCAGGTGTTTTCTCACACCAAACCGCTGAAGGTGAGCTGGGTCATGCTTCATTATTACTTGAATGACAGTTTGAAATAATCAATTTGTGGGGTAAAATTCGTATTTACTAGCTGCTAATATGTGTTGTCATGTATGATAAGAGCTCATGTAATTCTGTACCTCAGAACTGAATAATCTTTGTGGTTTTGACCCTTACTTCCATTGTGTTCGTCGTTTGTACTTTTGGCTTTGTTTCATGTTTTTGAGATGCTGTCCTTTATTGCAGTACTACAACAAAAGGAAGACTTACTTTGCACATGATGGTCTGGAGCAGTGTACTGTGGGAGACGTAGTCCTCCTGAAGGCCTTGCCAGAGAGGAGGGCAAAACACGTGACACATGAACTGGCAGAAATTGTGTACAAGGTGGGGAACGTGGTGGACCCACTGACGGGGAAGAGGGTGGCAGGAGGCTTGTACCTGGAACCACTTTCGGACACCATGGAACCTCCCACAGAGACGCTGACTGAGAAGCTCCAAGACCTAAACATAACTGCCGCAACATCTTCAAACCCCTGAGACTTGAACGTTCCAGGCCCCGTCCCACCTCACCTCGTCCCTCCCTTGAGGGAAATGTTTTTATTTTGAATCTACATTTTGTGTTGCAGCTGTTTTGATTTATTGTTTCCTCTAACAAGTCATCTTGTCATCTAATTTTTGGTGTGTGAACACAAGTAAATTACGGTGAGGTGGGTGACCTGTTCCAAAGAGATGCATACTGAGGTGCGGAATGTTTCCATGTGTACTGAACAATTGTGTTATTTTCCCTGTGTAATTACTGTAAAATGTTCTTGGTTCAAGATATGTGTCATATCTAGCAGTGTCAAAACCCAGTGCAGAGAAGACACATTTGCAGTTCATTCCAAACAAATAATGTTGCTGTTATTTTTCAATTACTCATTCACCCATTTGCATGCAACTCTGTGCTAAAGCACAGAATATAGGTAACAGCAGTTAATAAGACAACACAACTCATTTCACTTTTGAGTTAAACAACAGGAATTATAATGAGGTCATTTTTACTCAAGAGCAGAGGCTGGATTCAAATTGGAGCACAAAGGGGCCTTTGTGATACTGAATTTGATGCAGCTCATCTGCTTGTGTAGATCCAGGAGCTATTACAGGGTCATATGAGTATAAGTTCATTCAGCAAATTGAATCATCAGCTCTGACTGTGTTCTGAAGGAGGAGGCGCATGTGAGTGATGTCCACACCCAGAGTGCCAAACCACAGTGTGGCTACAGAGATCTCATACTTAGTCCTGCAGTTTAAGCCCTGCTGCGGAGGGAAATGTTGTGTGCACTGTTTTAAAAAAAAAAAAAAAAGTTTTTTTGTTGCTAGCTCACCTCCCCTGGTTTAATAGGTCTGAATCTGTTGCTAAAGGTGACAACTAAAACCAGCACGCCCTATAGCTCTCCAGGACGAGCGCTGGACGCCCTTTCATTAGTGATGGGAGACTAAGGCATCATGGCACCAGAATCAGAAGGGCTACAATGTTACCAGTAACTCATATCTTAACCAATCAGTGTACAACAGTAAGGCACTTTTGATTTGATTGGTTTAAATCACTCTGTGTGGAACAGCTAATTGTAGCTCAATGCATTTTTGTGATACCTTAGTCAGCAATCACTAATCACCACCTAGGCAGTGACAGGAGGACTTTATTGATGGCTGTAATCTGTATTTAAGTGGGAAGCTCAATAAATAAATTAACTCATCTGGTCAGTTATCATCCACACACTGCATGTCATTTTCTGCTTCTTTGTATCACATGCTTTGTTTTCCAAGTTCGGCATGGTGATATTTAACATACAGAGGTGTGTGTGTGTGTGTGTGTGTGTGTGTGTGTGTGATTGATTTTGGTATTTGTGTCTTCAATTTAAAAAAAAAAATTGAAGTTACCCAGACTTGGGTATCAGTCCGAACAAAAAATAATCTATATTTCATGAGGGATATGAACAGTATTATAAACTTGACGAGCTGGTGAATGACACACAACAAACTAGATGGATTTGATTTTAAGTATTTGGTGTCAGGCTTGTAATTCAGATTGCTTGGTTTTTCATACACTTCATTTTCTGATGGTAATCTTTTGAAGAAGAAATGTGCATGAAATTGCTCAAGTCTTTCTGTACAAAAGTGGCACATTTACTCTGTGAAGACGTTCCTGGCATACCGAATTCTTTAGGAAGTATCGTAAGTCGCTTTGTCTCCCTCTGGTGGCGAAGCTCAGCAAAGACTATCTACGTCGCACTATTTTGGCAGGAACTGATCAGGGTATTCAAAGAAAGATGGCGACTCGAGTCCTTCAGAGCGTGGGAAATGGCCTGAATCAGGCACGAAACAGAGTGTTAATGAACGGACCGATCATTGTTGCAACTAGGTAAGCATTTAGTTTTAAAGGTCGTCAGTACATCTGGCGAGACCTGAAAAAGCGGTTTCGTGTTCTTTCACTGCTTGGTCGCTATGATCTGACGGCCCTTGATTTAAGTACCGTCAACGCTAGCTGTGCAAAACTGCGCCTCCTTCACAACAGCCAGTAACGTTAAGCAAGTTGTGGTTAGTTTGCATTGAAGAAACCTCTCACGGATTTTATGGTTTTTGCAGAGGGACACACGTGTAAACTTGTCACGTATTTACAAAATTATTTGGCATGGTTAAACGGCTGGGAGCCACTGTAATAGGACACGGAGAACTATTTTGCAGGAAGTTTAGCCTACTCTGTAAGCTAGCAGTCCTGGCTGTGTTTGTACGCCTAGCCATAGCATGCTGCCATGTAGCCAGCAGTGGGGTAGCTCAAGGTCATTATATTAAAGAATAGCTGCATTTGTCCACTTACGATTTATTGCTAATGTCGTTGTCGACGACAGTTTTATATGAAACACCAGTTGTTTAATTT